CTGTTTCAATTCCCTCTGACCAGAGACTTTCTGTGATGCTAGGTACTTATGTTAATGTTGCCTAGTACCATAAAGGTTTTGACATGTGAGTAGCAGGGGCTTGCCTCTAGACTGCAAGCTGTGTCTTTCATGCCCTTGAGACTCTCCAGTAGGTGTCTGAGCAATTCAAAGTGTCCAAGAACAGAATGTTCTGTCTCAAGAAGCAGTGAGTTCTCTGTCACTAGAGGTATACAAGCAGAGAAGGATGGCCACTTGGGGGAGATATTGTAGAGTGTGTGATATACCAGAAAAAGAGTGTGCTAAATATCTCCAGGTCCCTTCTGATTGTAGTTCTCATATGACTTTGCATACATGAATTTTGGGAAGTGCATCACAATTTATAAAGCAGTGCTTTTCCAAAATCTAAAATATTACTCATTAGATCGTTGTAAAATCAATATAGTGATTTACCAATAAACATTTAGAAAAAAAGAGAGAAATAAAAGAGAATATGATCAAGTAGAATAGAACAGGATAGAAAATATCTGAGTGCATTGCAGGTAAGGGTAAGTAACTTGTTTTTGAAATTTGTTTCAGTTGCATTTGTGTGTATGAGTATGGACTGAGCTGTAATATAAAACGTATTTTGTTTATGGATCCATGTCAAAAAATTTGAAAGCCACTACCATAAGATCTAAATATGTATGAGCATGACTGTACTTACTTAAGTTCTTGTCTAATTTTTGTGTCTTTTATTTGTTATTTACCTTTGTATTTTTTACAAAAACTGATGAAGTATTAGTTACTATGGGGTATCCTCAGTTACATCTATGCCCTAAAAAGAAATCACACATAATAAGATTTCCCAGCACATAAAAAGGGCTGAAGCATCATGAACATGTGTGGGAAGGAAAGAAAACGCTGTCTGCTCTCTTTTCCCAGGACACCTTGGGCTGGGCATGGAGGAGAAGGCAAGTGGCTCAGGGCACAGAATAGAGGGCTAAGACAGGTGCACAACCTGCCTGTCCTTGGCTGGTTCCAGGACATAAGATGCCTTGGTTAGTCAGAATCCCCTTCTGGTAAACTGAGAGCAGCTCTGGGAAGCAGGAAACATAACCCCAAACATGTAGAAGTCATGAGGTAATAGCCAGAAGGCCTGGTAGAACTGGGTGGAATGCTGTGTCTCCAGCAAGCTCACCTCAACCTGGTCAATATCCAATTTTCCAGGACATAATCCAGGTAGGACATCCCTGTGCTGCCAAAAATGTGTTCATAATTGGTGCAGGGACTGGAGCTTGGGTATCAAAGCAGCCCACGAGTCTAGTTTGGGGCACACCAGATCCTACCACAACATCTATGTCTTGGAATTAATTTCTATTAATTTTCATAGTGATCTTTCATGAACAATTAAGTTTGTTTCTGATGTTTAACTGAAGTGTCATGTCCATCAGTGAGCTGCCCAGTAACAAAGTGCTTTGGTCCCTCAGGGTCTTTGGAGCTGCCATCTTCTTAACATCGACTCTGAACATGTTCATTCCTTCTGCGGCCAGAGTGCACTACGGATGTGTCATGTGTGTCAGAATTTTGCAAGGTCTAGTGGAGGTAGGAGATACTTTCCTCACAGTTTCCATATTGCTAGGGACAGCATGGTCCTTTAGATAATTCATCTTCTGAAGAAACTCCCCCTTATTCAGTTTTCCTATTTTCTGCCTTGTCCTGCTATCTCAGCTCTCCGGTTATGGTTACAACTATGAATATTTTAATTAAAATGCCTTGTGTGAGTCCAAATTTATACTCAATAAAGGAACCTTCCATAATGATGTTCAAGATAATCTAATCCAACTTCCTTCATTTTAAGATGATGAAACCGAAGTCAGTTCCCACAGGAAAGGCTCTTTCCACTAAAGCACTTTATATGGATTTATTAATAAATCTGTGAATTTCCAAGGGTGTAGTCTGATGTGGATAGTTAACTCAGTGAAGGAGGCAGCATGGTAGAGAGTTGGAAGGTAAATATTTTGGGCTTTGCAGGCCCAGTATTTTGGGTCTCTGTTGCAACTAGTCAACAATGCAGTTGTAGTGCAAAAGCAGCCATAGACAGTGTGGAAACAAGTGAGCATGGCTATGTTCCAATACAACTTTTTGGACACTGAAATATGAATTTTATATGATTTTTAAGCACCATGAAATATTTTTTCTTTTGATTTTTTTTTTCACCACTTACTTAAAAATGTAAGAAATTTTCTTAGCTTGCAGGCTGTACAAAACAGATGGTGGGCCAAGTTGGGCCATAGTTTGCCAACCCCTGATGTAGAGCAACGTTTCCCAAACTCAGTTGTTCACCTCTACCCTTCATCCCTTCATTATACCCACATCCAACCTGTACTATTACTTGCCCATCCTTTTTCCCTAGATCAACCCACTTAAAACAAACAAACACCAGACAAAAAACCCTTATTCTAAGCAACAATATCTTTGAAATCGTGGGTTTCATGTACTGGTTACACTTTTTCCTAAAGCTTATTAAAATGTATATATAACAATTATAATTAAGAGTGTAGGTTGTTGTAGCACTTCAAGTCCAATTCTAGTCCCACTAGAGGGACATATACCACAGTTAGGAAATACTGATATGACAGAAAGAATGTGATATTAGCAGCCACGAAGACCAAGTCACTTTATGGTTCTGAGCCTCAGTTTCTGTGTCGTGAAGTGAGGGGATAGACCAACCGATTGTGGAAGTCCCTTCCTACACTGATTTTCTACAATAATATGAAATATACATAAAAGACCTCCTTTTCTGCTCCCCACCATGCTTACATTTGAATTATATTTGAATGTCAGCATCTGTGCCATGAGTCAAAATAGCTGAATCATGATATTTAGTGTCTGTCTTAATCTGCTTGGACTTCTATATCAGCATACCCTAAACGGGGTAGCTTATAAATAACAGAAATTTATTTCTCCCAGTCCTAGAGGCTGGGAAGTCCAAAATCAAGGTGCTGGCAGGTTCAGTATCTGGTGAGGGCCTGCTTCCCAGGTTCATACACGGCCGTCTTCTGTCTGTCTTCACGTGGTGGAAGGGCTCCACTCTTATAGCCTAATCATCTCCTAAAGGCCCATCTCCAAATACCGTCACATCGGGGCTTAGGTTTCAACATATGAATTTGGTGGGGGACACAAACATTCAAGCTATAGCAGCATCTATAAATTGGGCTTTTATATTGTAGCTTGTATGAAGAAGCACCATTCATGTTTTAAACACAAACAGAAACTGGACTCAAATCAAATCTATTTCCACCCCTCTGCCAGGGAGTGACCTACCCAGCCTGCCATGGGATGTGGAGTAAGTGGGCACCGCCTTTGGAGAGAAGCCGGCTGGCCACGACTTCTTTTTGTGGTAAGCTTACTAGAACCAGGGAATGGCCAGCTGGCTCCCTCGGTAGAGGTGGTGGTGATGACAGCAAGGTCAGGAGCTCGGATTCGCATACTGGCCAAATGCCAAAGAAAAAAGAAGAGCTGTTACAGAATCAGAACACGTTTCATTTAAGAATGCTTATTGGCTTTAAGTAACTGAAAACCCTACTAACGACCTTAAAAAGAGTCTATTTTTTTTTTTTTTTTTTGCATAACAGAATTCCAAAGGTGAGTGCTTCAGGTGTTGGTCATGTTCTGACTTTCTGCTCTGCTGTCCTCAGAGTGACAGCTTTTCACTCTCGTGCTAGTTCCATCTGTCCCTTTCGCTGGGAAAGCCAAAGCTTTCCCAAAGCCCCCCTAGCAGGTTTCCACTTAAATTTCCTTGGCCCTAATTGTGTCACATGCTTTACTCACTGCAGAGGAGGCTAGGAAAGCGAGTGTCTGGCTTTTCCAGACTTTTTAGTAGAGAAGGGGAAGAGAGAAGGGGTTGGAGGTGGTTGTTGGATTAGCCAACAAATGACATTTGATGACATCAAAAGTGGAAGAGATGGCATCATCAGATTCCTCACTCCCTTTCTTTTTACACTGATACTACAGTTCAGTGACTTGCCCAAGGTCACCCAGATACTAAACTGCGGAACTGGAGTGAGACCACCTGATTCTTGATCTGGACCTTTTTTTACTGCACACTATACTACACGTTATCATAGAGACATTTAAATTAAATTTTGGCATTTTATTACAGATAAAAATGAAAAGGAGACCACCCATCTTAACTGAAAGCAAATTAGTGGCCCCCAAGTAGTGATGTGACTTTTTTTTCTGGTCTCCAAACTTCACCTTGCTAAGTTTTCCTCACTCTAAGCCTCCTTTTGGGACTGGCCCCTCTATGTATTGCTGGGAGAAATTAGAGTTCTGAAGAGTTTACCTAGGTACCAATCAACAGTTGCAAATATCTTAAAATATACTTTATGGGGGGAGGGGCCCATGAAGACAAAAGTGCCTTAGGCCACAAAATTTTAACTGGCCCAGGCAGTTAGAATTGAAACTTAGGCCTGTCTGAGTTTTCAAGCTTAGCATGCCTTTTCTAAGACAAGCTAATTTGTACTTCTTTGGTAAGGGGAGAAATAACCTTCCTCTTTACTTCTATGAATGTTTGTATTTATTTCTTCCTTTGCCCTTCCTTTATCTCCTTTAAATAATAATAATAGTATTTCATAAAATTTGGTGTGAAATATTCACCAATATGCCTGTTTTCTGCCTAGTTTGGAATTGCATGCGCAGCTGGGATGTCATTACGTCTTTAGCCTCTCTTGCCCTCGGAAGCATCTGACCTCCTGTTTGCAGTTCACGAGTATCTCCACCCCCACCCCTGAGCTTACACCAACTCTACAAGAGTACAACCCTCTGCCACAGCTGACCTTATGCACTGTTAGATCCTTGACCTCATTTTCTTTGGACTACTTATTTGTAAGGCCTTTCATTTTGATTTGCCAGCAAAACAAGAATGACTCGCAGCCACTCCCCATTCTTAGTGTGTCTTTATAGCCCTAAAAGGGCTGATTTTAAAAAATGGTTTGACTATCAAGGAAGGTTACCTGATCAAAAGTCATAGGCCTTATTGCATTTTCCAGCTAAGGTGTGGCCTTGGTTTCAAAGAACAGCCGAGGGAAAATGTCTTTAGAAGGAAACCCAAGCTGAGGGCTAATCAATTCTTAATCTCAAAAGATATTGGAGTTGGAGGAGACTCTAGAAAACCTCTAGTCACACCCCATCATTTTATAGTAGAGGAAACTTAGGATCGGGGGAGAAAAATGATTTAAATTCTCACAGCTAGTAAGGACAAAACTGGAGACTGTTTCCCACCCTAATTCTGCTACTCCCTCCTCCCCACGACATTCAATGACATTTGAGGGCCTCATGTGTCCTCTGTGGTGAGCACACAAAGGGACCGAGGTACAGCCTGCTCCCCAGAGCAGCCTGGGAGCGGTAGGGACAGCCACACTAAGGGCTGCGTGCCCTATTGGGGTATGCTCAAGGGGCTGTGTGTGATAGGATATGACATTGGAGCCACATCTGAAAGGATGAGGAAGAGTTTTTCTGATAGACAGGGGAGAAGGACAGTTTTAGGTCAAGTTGTAAAGTTTTTCCAATGAAAGAATACTTACTACAAAGAATTATTGGGCATTTTTTAGTGAAGGAGGCAGGACTGAATTATTAAATAAGAGTAAGGGCTCTGGAGTCCCACAGACCTGTCACTTACACCTGTGTGACTTCGGACAATTTACTTTCCCTCCCACAGCTTTATTTTCTTCTTGCAAAATGGGGATAACATTGGTACCTACCTCATCAGGCTGAAAGAGGTCTAAGGAAATTTGGGGGTACAGAATATTTAGCACAGTACTTGGTGCACAGAAAGCACTCAGTGCATCTTACTTGTTGGAGGTTATTCCCTACGCCTCCCTGTCCCAGGCATTCGTTCGCATCACCTAAATCAGATCCCCCAACCCCACTCCCAGGGTATTTGGACTGGGGAAGAAGACCACCTTCTGTACACCAGCAACAGAGTTAGACCTGCAGCTCTTTCTGAACATATGCCCTAAAATGCTTGCCTTATGGGTTTGATGAATTCCGAGGTTTTTTAAAAAAGTGCATTGTCATTCTGTACATGACAATAGCCGTCATAGCTGGCATTTGTGTAGCCCTGTATAGCTTACAAAGAATCTGCACATGTATAGTTCATTTTACCCTCAAAACAACCCACGAGTCACATATTTCAGTCCCATCTTATCTCTGAGGGGAATGAACCTCTCGACTTCCTCAGGTGTCATGATATTCAGATTCCAGATCCCGGGTTAGGCCTTTCACAGAGGATCAGGCTCAGCTTGGAAAGATGTAATTTAATCTATTTCTGTGGAAGATCCCCAAACTCCCATTTCTTGAAGGTCTTCCTTAGCATTGGATTCTGAGATACAGACTTTCCTTACTCTGCTTACTTTTTTCTGAAGCAAGAATTTTTTTTTTATTTGATGGCCCAAGAGGAATTTCAGATAGTAGCTTTTCAATTCAGTTAATATTTATTGGGAGCCCTACCAGATATCCTGGAGCTGCAGAAGATAGTGGAGGCTAGGTCACTGCTTCTAGCCTTCATTATCTTGTCTAGACGAGATAAACATCTGCACACAGGTGAGTATTGACAAGGTTAGGGATCTACAGAGTAAGAAATAAACTAAAAAATGCACCCATTCAGGAGGTAGATGGAGAGAGCAGCCCTCCTGCCATCCCAGAATTTAACATTTTCCAAGTTTTTTTTTTT